GATGGTAAAACAAGGAGGGCTGCCGAAACACATCACTCATGTCCACAACCGCGATGTCTAGGAGGGAGCAGAGACAACAACGGTGACTACGACCACAAGGATGCCTCATGAGGGTGACAACAAAAAAGCTTAAACTTTAAAATAAATACAATGAGTTTCTTTGTACAGATATGCAGAAGTGACCCTCCTTCCATCCCATGAACTAGGATTAATGCCCATATTGAATCCATCTGCCCTTGAGTAAGACACGCATGACCTCTAACCTCATTAAAAGTTGGAATGTTTCTGCAGGAAGCATTTTTAAAGACAACAAAAAAGACAGTTGGAAGCTCCTCGCTTGCAAAATGTCTTTCTTCTATATGTGTCCCTGGAGTAGTTTAATCCTAAAACAGTGCAAATAAAGAATAACAGTATATGTGTTTCCTAAACTATACCTTTTACCTGTGAATTTGGAAAAAGATGTTGCTTTCTAGTGGTCCACAGCCATGCTAGGCTGCACTTATGCACAGTGGTGCTTTGAGCTAAATGCTAACGTCATCATGCTAACATGCTAACAGTGGCAAAGATGCATGCTGATGTTAAAATGTTTACCATGTTCACCATCTTAGTTTAGCGTGTTACCATGCTAATATTTGTTAATTAGTGCTGAACTCAAACTACAGCGTCTGAACAAAGTCTGATGACACTAGTTGTTTTTGCAGGTATGTGGTTATACATTTTGACCTGGTAATGGTGCTGGATGAAAGGTTAGACGTTATTATGATACATCGTCTGGGGACAAAATTTCATGGCAATCTATCTAATAGATGTTAAGACATTTCCCTCAAAACCACAAATGTCAAACTCGTGTTGGTGTGGACCAAAATAGAGGTCTGCAGGAAGGTTGACAAACTGAGATAATAATCCCCAGAGCCACCCATGGCCAACACAATTGCAGTTGAGATAAGCAATCTAATTGTCAGATAAGATTAATATATGGGTGCATGTTGTAGTGTTTGGTAATGTAGGGTTGAGAAAAGCAATGTATGTGAGAGAACGAATGGAGAAATAAATAACACTGAAAGAGAGAACGTGTGTTGTAAAAATAATGACAATCATCTAACATCACTAACTGGTGTAAATACATATTTAAATACACGTTCATAAACATGCCATGGGTTTATTTAAATGCTTCTTGTAGCCAAACTTAAACAGTGGCAGCATATTGAGGTAAATGTTCATGTCAACAAAGCTGGTAGCCAGTGAGGAATTGAGAATATAAACCACATTTCTTTTTATCTTCTTTTTCTTTCAAACACTCTTTTACTAACACTTTTCTTTTTAAAATACAGTAGAAGCTTGAATAGTGAAAGATGATGGTGCATCAAAGTGTACAACTGTGTACAGACAATTACAGGCTAGTAGTGTGTCTGAGAGTAATTATCTGTGACTAATGAGTGAGTTATAGTATTTTATGTCTTATGATAGTAATGACAAGACAGACTATACATTAAAGAATTTGTACACTCACAGCAGGAATTTGGTGATTTACAGTCAAAATAGGCACTCAGATATTTTAATTATGTAAAAGTAGCACTAGTGCAGTGAGGGAAAGTACAAATCATTAAAATATAGCCTATGCAGAAAAAACGATTTTAGAATAAGAGTCTATAGCTATTACATTATTGGATTGTAATTATTGATGCATTAATGTGTATCACTTTAATGTTGCAGCTGATTTAATCACTTTATGTAGCCTACTGCTGGGTGGCTTAATCCATAACACACCACAATGTGTCCGTTAAATTTTTATTTTGTCTTTATAATCTGACTGAAAACTCATCTCTCCTGAGAAGACGTGTAAATAGCTCATTACTCATATTTATTGCTGCTCTTACTAGTTGTCACTTACAGATATCATACTTATGCTTTATTGAGCTTGCATGCTGTCCCTCAGATAGGTTGCTTTGGATAAAAGCCTCTGCCACATGAGTGGCAATCTGCCACATGAGTGGCAATGTAAATGTAGCCTAAATGGCTCTGCAAAGTAGCTAAAAACTAAAGCTTTCAAAATAATAGGGCAGTGCAAAGTAATTTTCCAAATATAGGCTTGTGGAGCAGAAGTATGGAAATAAAATGGAATTACTTAAGTGAAATAGCCTACCACTACCTGAAAACTTTACCAATCTGCAGTTGGTTAAGCAAATCTAGGTTTCAACAGCATTTCAGTGATTATTTCAACATGCAGCCAAGATTTCCTACATGCTGTTTAAACCACTTTTGTGCAACATTTTACCAAATAATCCCAGTTTGACGAGTTTGACCTACAAATGACCAGAGCCGTGCTGTTTCACTGACACACACCTGCATCGTAGAAACTGTCCAGCACTGATGTCTCTCCAAAGTCCAGCCGTCCGAAGGTCACGGTGGTGAGCAGTGCGCTCTCCGAGTCGCATGCTCTCTGCAGACATTGCAGCGCTCCGGACTCCGGGCTGCTGGCCATCACCGCCTTCAGCCCGTCGTTCAGGACGTACACCACCCGCAGGGAGCGCTGTTTTGCCGGGGGGCATGGGCTGGACACATCGCCCCTCTCCCGGTCCCTTTCCCGCTCCACTATGCATACCCCGGCGGAGTGCTCTCCTCCCATGTCGGCGACCTGTGCGCTCTGCCCCGTATCCATAGCGAGAACCGGGAAGTGTTTCTGCTTTATCTCCTTCCTTCTCCGGTTACTTTCCACTGCTCCCTCCCGCTACTTCCTTTATTCTGTCTTCTCTGGATTGTCCTCCTCTCGCTCACTTGTTGCGCACCTGTAGTCGCTGAAGAGGAGCGCGTCTGAGTTTGTCCCCCCGCATCTACGCCTCATTAACTCACATCATCTGCCGATTATCTCGCACCAAGAAGTCCGCTTGACCCAGACTAGATCCGACTAGATCCGCGTGAAAGAGGAGGAAATGTGGGGAGAGGGGGAGAGACAAAAGTGCATTAAGAAGTTAAGTTATCGCCTACTCCTTTGGCTCTCGCCTTCAGTCTGGTTTTAAGTCGGGGGAGTTTAGCCTATATGCTGGATACCATCGGGTGTTGGCCACAGTCTGTAATGTTATCGCAGTCTCTCTGCTTGTCTAAATATAAAACGATGTGTCCGCATGTCCCCCTCCTCTACACAGCAGCCATGGTTATTCTCAGTTATTGAGGCAAACAGAATCATCAGTTATTTGCTGTTGATCTGTAGCCTACTCAATGTCAAATTTTCCTTTTCCACAATATAGCCGAGAATATTCAAATACCATACAAATAAATATTACCATGTATATAAGTTAATTGATAACGGTAAAATTCTTGCGGTTTCCACAGTCTTTCCACAAACCAGTGACATGTGTTAAATGCTGGACTGTATGCCAGAGGCTATCTACAACACTCTGATGGGACAGCATCAAAATAGGATCAGTGCCATTGGTCCTTCCTGAAAACCTGGCCTACTAAGCATACTGCTTCATCCAATTTATAATATTGACATTTATTAAGACCTTTAACCATATCTCTTTAAACCTGCACTGATTTTGGTGCCACTTTGAGACCACACGGGGGCAGCAGAAACAAGTTGTGAACACAGACATGTCACCTTGTCAACTCTGTTAGCACACATTTAGCAGTTATGGTGCAACATTATCATTCATGTGGAGCTGTGTTTATATCACCTGAGGAATTTAAGTCCAATATTCACTCACTTTTAGTGTCTTGCCCTCCACAGACTGAGTTAAATATCTTTTGATGCTAAATGTTCACCAGTTCCACAGTTTTTGGACTTTCATGTAACTCATGTAACCCATCCACTGTCACGTAATGTACTAATTTCAAACAAAACACTATGTTTTCCTAAACTTAACCAAACTGCATATATACAACATATTAAAAAGTTGTTTCATATAGAGGCTAAAGAGTAAGCCTACCTTGTGCGTCAAATACCGACGCTTTGTCAGGCTTTCTCAGAGGGTCAGCATTTGACTACCTGGGGGTGAGAACATGTTTGTGAACTGCAGATTCAGGGCATAATTCTTTGTTGTCACAAGGAGCGACCCACATGGTCTCATTGTTTTTGCATTGTCATTTGAGACATTATTATAAAAATATAGATTATAAACACTTTAAATCAGTTTTGTTTAGCTGTTGGGACAAACCTTGACGTCATCTGGGCTATCTTGGTTTAGAGTACCCCTTTAAATGTTTAAATTTTTCAGTAAGGTCTTAACTGTTTTCAAGCTGATGGTCTCAGCCTTTTTCTCAGCGTGGTCGTCCACTAACCAGAAGGTCGGAGGTTCGATCCCTGGCTCCTCCAGGCTGCATGTCGAAGTGTCCTTGGGCACGATACTGAACCCCAAACTGGCCCCGGTGTGTAAATGTGTGCGACTTTGCCTCAGCTTATTAGTGTGTGAATAGAGTGAATGTGATGTAGTGTTAAAAGCACTTTGAGTAGTTGGAAAGACTAGAAAGGAACTACAGATATACAGACCATTTACCATTCATTACTGCAACTGCAATAACAAATGGTACTGCAATTGCAATTGTTCACACTTGTATGTTCACAATCATGTTGTTTATACACATACAGACATTTTATACTGTTGTGAAAATTTGAATGTTTTCTTAAATCATGCCCAAAAAATATGTTTTCAGTAACAAACTATTAGAAACCTAATATTACTGTACAGTGAATAGTGAAAGTTGACTAATATGATGTCTTGTTACATATATTCAGGGATTTTATCTGTTCTTTCAGATGAAATAATGCTGTTGCAGAAATTCAGCAGTGGTTTCAGTGGCCATTAAGACTTTCATTTCGTTTTTATGTTCACTCAGACCTTCAGTGACCTGCGAGTATGTCCAGTTTCCGTCTGTCTCTCTCTCTCTCTCACACACACACACACACACACACACACACACACGGTGCTCTGTAACAGTTATCCATGCAGAAGCATCAATTGCTTGAATAAACAGTGTAAAGAGCAACAGAATGGAACAAAATGCCCCTTCATACAGTACTGTATATTAAACAGACACATCTTACCAGCAGACAATTCAAACATTACATAATAGCATCTTTATTACACTGAAATATAAAAGTATATATATTTATCACTATCCTGGAGAGAAAGGACCAAGTCAAGAAAACAACTTGTAGCCTCAGATGTAGCAGTTTTCTTGTTGTCATACGAAACAAAGAAAGGAAAAGAAAGATTTGGAGTCAAAAACAGGAAGGCCACAGTGACGGGTTGCCATAGATTCTGTGCACATATAAGGAAGGGAGGCAAACAGCCGTACATGCTACCACACATACACAGGCATGCACTCACACATAATTGTCTTCCTTTACCTGTGAGGTCCTTTTTCATTTACTACATTCCTCAAACCCTGTCCTTAACTTTACCCTTCACCTGCTGCCAAAAGAGCACCAGAAACATCATCTGCACATGGATCTCAGTTTTGATTTTTGGGGGGTATGTGATGCGACCAGCACAGCTGTTTCTTGAGGTTTCTGGAGTTGTGGGGCAAACACGTGAAACCAAAAAGCAAAAAATAACATTTTTGTCCAGAAGGCAATACTCTTGACATGATAAATATCATAGATAGGCGTGTTCATGCAGTGACATATGCTTTTCTTTGCATAAATGTTTCATTTGCAGCCAAATATCACAGGGCAGTTTTGGATCTTGTCAAAGAAATAGATTTGACATTGTGGGAAATACACTTCTTTGCTTTCTTGCCAATAGTTACATGAGAAAATTGACACCCCTCAAATGTCTGTATGTTAAGTGTGAAGATACAGTTAGGAGATAGTTAACTTAGCATAGCACATAGACTGGAAACAGGGGAAAACAGCTAGCCGTGCTGTGTCAAAAAACAAAATCAGCTCTTTAACATATTGTTTATTTTTTGTTCCATCCATACAAAAAAAAAAAAAAGAGTGTAAGTTGTGTTTTTTTTCAGGAATATATGCCGGGCTAGGGTCAGTGACTTTCTGAAGTAATTTTGTCATCATAAAACCACAAATTGTTTTTTATACCACTCAGTTTTTGTATTGATAAAACAAATAAGATAAAACTTTTTAATTAGCGATCTTTGCAGGTACTGGTATTAGATATACCAGTATACAATATAGATTTTGTTACCTTTGGACAGGGCCAGGATAGCTGTTTTCTCCTGTGTCCAGCCTTTATGAGCTGGCTGTAGCGTCATTTTTAGTGTACCGAAATGAGAGTGGTATTGATCTTCTTATCTAACTCCTGGAAAAAAGAAAACCAATAAGCACATTTCCCTAAATGTCCAACAATTTATTTCTTCTACTATAGCACCTACAGTGTCACTTGTCATGTTGGTTTAATTAAACTGAGGAATAATCCTGATGTGCTTGTAATTTTAACCACCGAACAAGTGGAATATTTGACTGCAAATTAAAAACTTAAGAGGAAATATGTCAATATGCTGTTAATGGCTGATGCTTCAAAATCACCCGCCTGCAGTGTACCATAGAAACATCAATGTTAAGCTAATGCTAATGGAAATAAACCCAAATTCTAATCTTAATCTAGCTCACTGAAGAAGTCAGGACCGGCCAAAACGACCTCACTATACAAAAATGTTGCTAATATGAAGGTTTAAAAACTTCAGTCCTCACATGGATGGAAAAAAAGAACACACACACACACACTCACACATTCACACACACACAGATAAGGGGTGAAGGCCGCAGAGTGGACACAGAACAGCACAGAGGTCGTCTGAACCAACCGGGCTACGAAGTTCAAACTCCAAGTTTCCTTCACACTAATAAACAAAAAGTACCAGCGTGGTGTACTCGCCACGGCCGCCTGTGTCATCCTTCTGTAACTGTGGCAACACGCAGCGACAGGCCGTGGTGCGTCAGTACCAGCGGCACAGCAAGCTTCAAACAAGATAGCAGTACATTTTACAGAGAAGCCTCTTTAAGAGAAAAATAAAGAAGTAAACACAGGATAAGGCGGCGTTGCGGGGTGGGGTGGGGTAGGTGGCTGATTCCATGGTACTAAATTGTTGCTGATGTTGATCGTGATGATCATTTGGCACAAACTTTGTTTTTGGCTGAAGTGTCTCGGCCAACAGTGAGAACGTTTTCAAACGCTGGCCTCCGATGTGGTGATCAGAGTGCGCAGGTACGGATGTTTCAGTCTTCATTTTGACAGGCTCTTCTTTATGTGCTCTACTTCCATCTGTCAAACAAAGGCAGACAAGTTGGGATTTAATTTCGTCTACAATTAAAGACATTTAGCTGTTGGTCTTAAATTCCTTTCTGGGTGAGACTACTGAATTACTATAGATTGCCTTATGCCTTCAAGTATAATTTATGTGTTATTAATAGAGCCCGACCGATATATCGGCCGGCCGATATGAGCTAATTGCATTTAATTGGCATCGGTCGTTTATAAACACACTGCCTCACCACAAAACACACAGAAGAAAACAATCAGCAGATCGGAGTCTACCGCAGCATGTTGACACACATAGAGGGCTGTGTGAGCGGTGAGTCTGTCTTTTGTCATGTTAATTACATGATTGTTTCTGAAACAGTGTGGCAGTTCTAGCAAACGATCCACATTTGTCCCTAGTTCATCACTTCTAAATATTTTCTAAAGTCATGAAACGTTACAGCAGCTAACGCTGCCTGTTGCTAAATTAGCCACAAAGCTAATGCCTTGTTTATCATTGGAGGAGCGCTAACGTTAATGAGCCGTTAAACTATTGTTTCTGACATATTTTAAATTTATCTGCAAGCCGTCTGTCTGCAGTTACAGTCGGCGTGTGTGAAATGATTAAACCAGTAGTGTGAAACTTTTTAGTCAGAGCCATAAGGGCTTTGGTTGTAGTTATAACGTTAGTTAAATAAAACATCAAAGTTGCAGGTCCTCCTTGTAGACAATCATTTAGTATGCATTCAACATCAGGTCACTGTATCATAGACGGCATGATTTAGACAGATGGTGGTTGAGAAATGGTTTCTTGTAGCTTTGGTTAGAATTAAAGAGTGCTGGTAAAAGGATGAACTAGATGTGAATATGCTACATTGAAATTATGGGATTATGTGTAAAGTGAAATACACATGCTTATTCTCTCTCACTCTCTCTGTTTACAGATGACTGAAAAAGTTGCACCTTCCAGCAGTAAATATTTATTGACGTGCATTTGTTTACATGTTCACTTTTTGAGACTGTAATCTATTAACAGTATCTATCTATTAACATAATCTATTTATGAAAATGTTTTATAGCCCACACACAAAGTATTGATTACAGGATTTAAATAATTATTCAATTATCAAAACTGTTGTCAGTTGGCTGATTGACTTGATATGTAATTGTTTTAACAAGGGTCTGTTTTTAAAAGTAATCTTTAAGAAATGTATCTTTATATGTTATGTATTTTACTGTACTGTGGTGCTGCTTTAAATTGAATCTAGTCAACATCTGGAATAATTTGTGTATAACCAGTGATGTGGTTGAACAATATCAATAGATTACATTTTAGGGCTTGAAAAAAAGCTAGCATAGTACATTTAACTAAACAGAGTATAAGATACATAAAAAATAATAATATTGACACTTTTAAGTTTATTGCCACGAAAAAGCATTTTGCCTGTTTTGCTGTAGCTTGTTAGCATTGATTATATATTTACAGTTCAATTACTTTACAGTTTGGATGGCTGACATCCCAAATCTATTAAATTCAATTGTTGACATCTAGATGAATCTATGTAAATCCACCTCCAGATGGATACAGTAATACTAGAACAACTTGGTGTCACATTGCATTCAAAGCAACTGACATAGGGGTGTCCGCATACTTTTGGATATATAATATATCAATGACATCTAAGTGGCATCTAAGAAACAAAGTGTTACTCATACTTCGTGTGTTAGTTTTAGTTCACTTTTGAGGCATTTCTCCTGAAGAGCTAGATACATTAAACACTAACTAAACTTATACATGTATAAACCCAAAACAAACAGTACATAAATATCAATAATATGTACCAACATTTATTGTTAATTTATTCACTTATGATAAAGTCAGGATTGTTAGACATACATCTAAACTCTCCTGCCCTTCCCTCCTTTATGAGTCTCACCTGTAAACTAACACGAATCTTCTTCTCTTCATCCAGCGCGCCGGCCAACTGCTTCATCTCCTGTCTGAAATACACAAATACACACAAACACATCATGACTGATCCACCGACTCACGTACGTTTGCGTGCACACACACACACACACACACGCTAATATCTAGGGATGATGTACCTGTGCTGGCTCTTCAGCCGTTCTATGGAGGCCCTCAGGTCTCTCAGCTGGTTCCTGAGTTCCTCCAGTGTCAGGGGGGTCATAGGTGAATGACGGAGCTCGGGGGAGGGGGTCAGACCCGAAGAGGAAGATGGGGACGTGGAGCGATGGCTGGAGTTAGGTGGGGTCAGGGTAGAGGGCTTGGTGGGAAGTGGTGCCTTATTGTCATGTACCTGAGAGCGAATTGAGACACAGATCAGGAATTTTTCCCCCCCCGAACATCTGAGATCCAACCTGGAGGTTCTGCTTCAAGTGAAGTTTGGAATCCAAATTACACCAACAATGATAAGAGAAGAGTGAAAAATATAGGAACTGGTGGTGAAATAGTTTTGTCAACTAATGTTTCCAAAGTTAAGAAACAAAAGTTGTTAAAGTGCTGAGGAAAATGGAAATTTCAACTTCTACAATTTTACGCCACACTGAGCAAAGTCCACGTGTTGAGGAAGATTGTGTAATATGACTGAAAGCTCCACAACAGCTACTATGGCACTTTGGGGTGAGGTTGTTTTGCCTAAAATTATAACATTAATCAAAAAGAAACTGCATCTCATACTGATCGATCTCTCCTCTGTGATTACAATTAAAACTATTGATATTGATTATCTGTCGTTTTGTTATTTGTCAACAACCGGTAACATCTACCAGCAAGCACTTGATGTGCTGCTAAACACTGCTCAGAAACACAGAAAAGCTGTAGTGTGGTGCCACCTGCTTGATGAAATAAATAGTGTACACAGAAGGTGGACGTACAGAGATGTTGGGAGCGCCTTTCCTCAGGGAAATGTCTAAAGATCTGGTGACAGTCTCCGGCTCTTCCTTCCCTCTATTCTTCTCCTTCCTGTCCTCTAACGCGGGGGGTTCCAGATCGGTACTGGACAGGTAGGACTACGACAGAGAGAAACAGACAAATGTATTTAAAAAACAACTGCGATGGCGTATTCTGTGTCAAGTCTGTGTCAAGTCTAATCTAATCTAAATACAGTTCTAATCCATTAAAATAATAATATAAGATAAGAAAACACACCCTTTTTTCCTGTTTCCATATTAATCAGTGCAAAACGTTTTCCATAAATGCATATTATGCTGTGAATACTCAATATATACTGAATGCTAAAACATTAGCATGGACACCTGACAGAGCTACTAGAGATGTACCTGTGTCCCAGTTTTATACTAGTTTGTACCAATTTTCATAGTATAATGTTTTTGCAATTACAATACAAGAAATTATTGAATTTTACTGGAATAAATGATCAATCAAACTCTGGCTCTGAAATAACACTGCCAACTTACCAATATTTTTGTTTGTTTGTTCTGTTTTCTGAGGTTTTGTTTTAGCTTTTTCCCCACCTTTAATAATGTGTGTTTTAGGGCTGAAACTACTGGTAATTGTATATGAGAGAATGTGTCATGTTGCATGAGAGTATGTGTTGACAGATGTTCATTTTCTGTATTTTGTGTTGTCTTTGTAAAGCTCCAAAACAAATTATATCAAAGTATATCTTATATCTTATATTTTATGTGATCGCCAACTATTTTGATAATCAGTTAATGATTAAAATAATATATCAAACACAAAAGCTAAAGAACATTTGCTGCGTCCAGCTTTAATATGAAAGATAATGTACAAATAACCTTCAATAATACATCATGATTTAAGATAAGATGACCCCTTGGTTAAATTTAAAATCTATCCAGCAGCATATGTCATTTTTAAATATAATATATTATATATATATAAAGAGTACTTTTACTTTTGTAAATTAAGCATATTTTTATGCTAATATGTAAGTACTTTTACTTACTACTGTTGAATCAAGGGCTTTTACTTCTTTCACAATATCAACAGCATCCACATAAATCAAGTATTTCAGTATTAATACTGACATTTTAAAGTACATATCGTTTTGTTGCTGTTCACAGTGTCAACACACTTCACTACTTCAGACCTGCTCAGTATGTAGTATAGAAGTGGGACACAGCGCCATCTTCTGAGAGGATCAAACCTCTCATAAGATTCTAAATTAGGTGACCATGTGTCTTCCTCTAGAAAAAAAGTCCTTCATGATTGGCTGACTACAAACACACTTACTGGTGTGATGATCTGTGAGCGAGGCCGGCGGTCTGTGACTCTTGGCCGTGACGCTGTCGGGTGACTCAGCTTCTCTGTTGATGCGACGACCACGTCCAGGTCCACATCTGCACAAACACACATCAGAAACACACAAACAGGTGACTATCAGCAGGTGACGTTCCACATGTGCACAGAGGCAAAGAGAGAAAGAGCGCGCTCTGACAGTTACTTAGGCACCATTATCTTGATCTCATTGGTCGATGCTCCTGTCAGTCAAACTCACCAGTGTCATGTGACCTGTCAGGGCCAGAATCTGGTGTCGAAGCCCCGCCCTCAGACTTGGGGCTTTCACTCCTGAGCAGGTAAACCATACAACAAAATTAAGCTGTGTAAACCCTCGGGGAAATGTGGGATTTCTCAGTAAGAGCGTGTGTGAGTGTATGTTTGTAAGCTTGTACTGACGCGAGAGCGGGCGGTCTCTCGGGACGCCGCGGGGGTTGGGAGGTAGAGGAGGTGTTTGTCTTTGGGGGGAGGGGTTTCTTGGGAAGGAGAGATGGGAGGGTGGGCTTGGGGATGTCTCCAAACTTCAGCTCTTCACCTACACACACACACATAAAAATCATACAAAACACACATGGTTGTTCATGCAGGAAAAATAACAGACACATTGAACATAAATAAACACATGTAGAGGTGAATGTGCGACTCAAACGCTCATCCAGACATGCATGATAAGGTGACTGCATGGTGGTAGGAGTACAGTGATAAAGGGAAAAGCTGCAGCAGTAAAAAGGAACTACATCTGACCAAAGGTCGCAGTAAAGCAAGCCAAAGAAGTGTTGTTAAAGAATAAACAGAAAAAAGAGAAACAGAAAAAGAAGAAAGGTCTGGTGTTGCCCAAGGCTGCAAGAAAGTGAGTGGGGAAAAAATGGAGGGGTGAAAGGCCAAGGAGGATTAGAACGATCAGCTGTGGTGTCACTAGTATTTGTAAGTGAAGAAAAACAAATAAATTGAGATTGAGCTCTTTTTTTTTTATAATATATTTTAAGAAAATCCCTGTTTCATATGTATTATAAGTCATATTAACAGTGCTTCAGCTCTAATAAAATTTGGAAAATAATATCACTCCACTGGCAGATTTTACTTACTTAAACTCAAATACTTCTTGGGGTGAGGATTATTTTAAGTATTTGTGCTTTGAGTATTTCCATTTTAAGCTACTTTAAACTTCTACTCCTCTACATTTTAGCTGGAAATGTTGTACTTTTTACTCCACTATATTTGTGTCTACTTGGTTTAAATAACCGAGTCAAACTGTGATTATTTCACAAAAAGCAAAAAGAGAATAATCCAAGCTACTCTTGACTCACTTGGGCCAAATATCGTATCAGTCGGTGCCAATGTTTGTCAAGATCAAAACAACAATGCCCATAGTTTCCTGCTGTACACAGAATGATGTAGACACCGTCTCTTCAATCAAAGCTTTGTTTCACCAATTTACAAACGAGGACAAACATGCTGCAAGTTATGTTTTTACAGCTACTTGTTCTAACATCTACTCCTGACACAAACCTACTGCATGCTTGGCTCCATTAACCTATGAAAAACCGTACTTTCGCATATTTAATGCCTGATTAGACATATAAAACATGTTTATTAATGATCTGTAAGTTGCCAACTGAACAGATCAGTAAAAAGCTGTTAGAGGCTGCAAGAGCTGCAGGCCGAATGTGGGCTGAACAGAGCCAAAGTGGTCTAGACTGTACCTCGTTCCTGGTCTCTCAGTGGAAGATGTTCAGGTCGCTCAGGAGGAGCCTTCTTGACCTCCGACTTTTTCTCTACAGGTCAGAGTTTACAGGTTTCTGTTTCTCTCTCTTTCTGTCTCAGAACACATAATATACAAGCGAGGAGGGAAAAGAAGTTGTGAGGTGTTACTGTACCTGTGGTGTGTTTAGCTGAAGGCGCGCTTGGAGGAGGCGGTTTCTTTGGTCTCTGGAAACACACACAGACACCGAAATATTATAAAAACACTTCAAGAATGTCTCATGTCTTTGAGACTTTCTCGGCAACGGACATCACGGTAAACAGACAACTTTTGCACGTGTGTCCTTGCGCCAAATATACCTCTTTCTCCACTTCTAGCAGCTTGACAAAGTTGTCTGGGAAGACACCTTGCCTTCCCCCGATCTCCCCCTTCCACCAGCCTGCATCAGCACACTCCTGGACAAAAGAAGAAGTTTGGTACAGTTTAAATGCCTGCTGTGTATTCAGTGTGCACCGGGATGCAAATTGTGTTTTCCTAACCTGCACAAACAAATCAAACTAACCAAGTGATGCAAAGATGTGAGAGTCAAAGCAGACACACCTGCATATAAGCCAAGTTATACACACACATATGCAGACTGACCTTGGTAATAATGTTGACGATATCTCCCTCTTTGATTGACAGCTCATCTTCATTTTGTGCTTCATATGGAAAGAGGACTTTACATTGCTCCCGTCCTGCCATATTTAAGACAGACAAGCCATAATGAGCAAAACTACGGAATATAGAAACAACAGAGTAGAGGAGGTTTTGAGCAAGAACTGAAGGGATGACGTGCGGGGAGAATGTGCCATTGTTTTCAAATTTTCACTGAATTTTTATACCCGGATTATTTAGTAAAAGTAGACAATTTTAAACTTTTGAAATTGGATTTTTGAAATTGGATTTCCACCTAGGTTTTACCTGTGGTTAAAAGTTATGAGTGTGTTTAGCTTACTGCCATAGTTTACATTAAACAAAGAAAGCACAGCACAGCGAAAAAGGGAACAGGGGTCCACATAGGTTAGGTTAGAAACAAAAAGCTAAATCAAAGAATGCTTGTGTTGCAAAAGGTACTTTTAAAATCTGTCACCCACATTTGTGTATTATTAGTTTTTTTAAAACATCTGTTTAATACTTTTATATTCAAAATAAAGACCAATCAATTGCTAGATTTTCATCTGAAAAATAAAATTGGGGAATAATGATAACTTACTTCTGTATTCAGTTATTAAAATACAAGGATGGCATACAACACTTATAATCACACTTTGGGGTTTCCTTTAGAATTTATACAATGGTGTACAATTTGTGTGTGTACAGGAAAAACCAAAAAGGAAACGAGAAGTTCACTAAATCATTTCCTGATTACAATGTCCAATCAAGCACGTCTAGCGATAGAAGAGCATGTTTTGGTTTTGCTTTGTTTTAACTCATTAACTGCAAAAAAAAAGAGGTTGAAATCCACATAATCTTTTTTCATTACATTCCTGTTTGCTTTTATTGCCTTATTGTTTATCATCTGGACTTCCTTAACTGAACAGTAGAGCTCACCTTTAGCTTTGCTGTCAGGTTCAGTCTTCATGGTTTCAGGGGCTTTCCCTTCGTTGGCCTGAATGTAGAAGAGACGGAAGAAAACCTTTACTTTCAGACACATTCATGTAAAATGTCATCGTCAGACGCATTTACATACACAGTAGGTATAATTGTGTAACCAGCAGCGCAATTTAAGTTTTTCTTGTAGTCACCCTGGTTCGGTGTAAGACTTCCTGTGCTTACCATAGCGAGTTTCACCAGCCTCTCTGGAGGATATCGTGATCTGGTTTGATTCAGCTGTTGGTGTGGAGGTGTGACTGCAGAGCAGCACGTTTACACAATAGTGTTAGTGCAGAAAGTGACATCTGTGCATCCTTTTCCCAGAGAATTCACCAGTGTATTCCTCCATATGTCAATTCAAAAAATGCACTATTGAGGTAATCAGCAGGTGTCTTTTTATTTTATTGAAGCTGGTGATTTTAATCAAACAGATCTTTTACCTAAATTCCTCCACGCATATTTCCCCACCAGGGGAAGCAATGCCCCGACCACACTTAGTCTTCTGGGAGTTTGGTATGCATGACATTGCTGACATACTGAGGTTCAGACGGTGAAGTGTTTACCACATTCACCATCTTAGTTTAGCGAGTTAGTACGCTAACATTTGCTAATTAGCACTAAACACAAAGTTACAGAGCTACAGGTATTTCATAGTAAACTTAAGTATTGAACAAATTAACAGTTTGACCAGATTGTGGTGCTGGATTAAAAGTTCAGAGGTCACTAAATTATTGAGGAGAACATGAATGTCTGAACCAAATTTCATGGCAATTCTCACAAAACATTTCAGAGACAATTCAGTGTCGAAGACTTGGACTGACTGACCAACATTAGATCTCCAATAACACCTCTAGCAGGACTTAAAGTCACATCTTACCAATAAAACAAACTGAATGAATGGGTAAAAAATAAAAATCATAAATTAAAAGACAAAAATAAACAACGCACTTGAAATAATCACTTTCCAGTGCACATCACTGTCCCACAGCTCCAGTCTAACCAGCTAATTAGAGAGGATCAGCTCAGATTTAGCACAAAACCACCCGAGCTGACTTGACGATGAAGCGCTTGCGCGTGTTATGCGCGCTGAGCAGGCTGTTAAAAGGAGCCGTTGTTTTCCTGCTGGAGTGGATCCCTCGACAGTGTTTGTGGAACCAGGGTGGCTCTTCCATAGAAAAAAAACCCATACACACACATATACATTCACAAGACCGGGGTCTGTCCCGAACACACACACTGCTCTGTTCTGTTTGAGAAAAAACACCACGCCGCCTCCCCCGCCAGCTTCTCTCCTCTCTCTACACCCTTCCCCTTCTCCCCTTCCCTCTCTAATGAGACCCATGTGGTGCCACAAGCATTGAGACATCATTACAACATCCCAGAGAGGTTTTAACGTCTGAGTATCACATGTTTTCTAGGCCTCTTATAGTCAAACAGGGATTGTTCAGTAAGTGACACGACTATTTCTGGAATGACTCAGACAGTTAAGACATTTTTTTAAATGTCAACCACTTTTAGTTTCAAACAGAAAAAGAAGAACTACAACCATTATCTTTTTGTTGTGCTTTAGGAGCCTCGTATCACCCTAAAGCTGCATTTACTGCTGTTTCAGAGCTGTGTCATTGTAAAGCAAAAATCTCCCTCCGCAGAGCAAAGTGTGGCCAGAGGCAGGAAATTCAAACAGGAGTAAAGTCTGCAGTCCATTTAAACACCACACTAATGTGGCTTTCATGACTTTGTAAGAAAAAGTCTTCTGAAAGTTGTGACATATGCTGATTTGTTTAAAAGTATCGAGGCAATGGTGACTGTTTTGAATAATTACTTAAACCAGCATTAAAAGATTTTTTGTGGACATGGGGGCAGCAAAACCACATCGACATACTATCACTTTATAAAGTTGCAAAGGCAAATATGTTATCAAACAGCTGATTATTTACACTGCAGATTTATAGCGGCCTGCATGTATTAATGCAGCTTTAAGATTGTTTCTAGCAAGACATTAAATTGCAGAAAACAATATTTTCTAGTATAGTTTATTTGTGTGAGTCTATATACACTTTCTGACTATCACCTTGTAGTCCAGTATTATCAAAATAACTACCTAACACCAAATATTTCTGTACGCATGAAGCTAGTGCTTTCTTCTGACTGAGCTGGTACAACCTTGGAGGAAGGAAGTTTTTCCTTGCCTCTGTCGCCTAGTGCTTGCTCTTGGTGGGAATTGTTGGGCTTCTGTAAATATCATCACAGAGTATGGTCTAGACCTGCTCTTTTATGAAAAGCGCTGTGAGATAACTGTTGTTGTGATTTGGCGCTATATAAATAAAATTGAATTGAAAAATTGAATTGAAATTGAACCTTCTATTGTCATTGTCTATTTTTCACTTTTCAGGCCAAGTTAAATAAATCCACAACCGATTTCTTGCCTCTTTACATTTAACTATTTTCAGTTGCCCAATAACTCAAACCAGAGGATGATTTGATGATGCTTGGAAAATGGTATGATCTCTCCATTGCAGGGCTGAAAGAAGTCAGATTTAATATAAACTGCAAACAAAAAAACTGGATATATTTAGTGGTCCTGGTATATGCACAGCAGGTAACATACCAGGCTGATATTGGTCTTTTCTATTACATATTGACAATTAGCCAGTTAAAAAGTTACTCCCCGTCAACAGGCACCTAAAAAAATAGCAATCCTTTAGTAAAATGTGCACGTAGTATTTATTTATTCAGTTTGTCTTTCGGAAGTCTTTTGTCGGTGAATAACCCTGGTAGGTGACCTTTCCTTAGTGATCCACCACTCACTAAACTTCACACTGTAGACTTTTGTTTTACATTGAAGTCCCTGCTGATCTCTTGGCTGAGTGACTCTGACTCATTGCAAAGACAAAAAAAATAAATAATAAAACCTTGAGAAAACTTCCCTTTTTGCTGGCATGAAAGCTAAAAAATGTTGAATACTGGCCCAAAACAAAATCCAAACTATCATTGTCAGCACTCAAATAAACAAGCTTTGAATCACTATGTGCATCTGTGCATCAAGGCACACACATTGCTGTAGCTTCACAGTGGGACTTCGCCCAGTTCACAAGCAGCTGACCTTCCAGTTCAATTATAAAGTTGACGTGGCTTTAGGTGACACAGCGTCGCCCCGTCCCGGATGGAGACTCTGTGCCGTCAACTTCTCCAGAGCCTCATTAGAGAGCAGAGAGACTTGTCTCACCATAAAGCAACATAACAGCCTCCCGCTCAGCAGGACAGGCTGACAAACATCCTTCAGAGCAAACACACACTCTTATATTTCTGCAGGAGCTCCAGGAGGGTTTGACGACCAATATAGGAATTTAAATATAGGAATTTAAAAGTCATTTTAAATACAGGTTTTACTTTTGGTCACCTACTTAATTTACCTTGTTTTCATCCTGTGTCTCTAACTTTCTTCATCTCTTATTCTCTGCTTAAATGTGCCCTTTCTCGCCTGACATTAAGCAACATGACAAGTGTTGAGGTTTTGCCTTAGCGCCGTGTGGCTATCAAAAAGTGACATAAGAGTTTCAGATTTGGTGTCATTGGTGATGTTTGCCTTTAAGTTTACTGATAGAACGTGCAGAAAGCAGATTTTTGTAAAGGTTTCTTATTTTGTTAATAAATCTGTGTTTTCTGAAAGAGTTTTATGTCTCTTGATGGTCAAAATGTCCTTTAAAAAGCTGTTTCACTCTGCCAGGACTAATGTTTAGGGTAAACATTAAATTTCTTGTAATGAAAATAGTCAATTTCTCCAAAAATAACAAAGTATTTATCTTCCTCTCCTACTTCAGTAGGTTTTTGTAAAGTTTTCTTCTTCAGATTACAAAATAAAGGGGAAATGTCTCTGTTTTAATATAGTTATATGTCTGTTGATGGTTGAAATACCACACAATAAAAGTTAATGGTTATGGTATTAATGGGACTGAAATTATAAGTGGTTTTAAGGGCTTTTCAGATATTTGCATTTTAAAATTCTTAAAATGTGCGTGAACTGACCCTTTAAAGGCAGATATTTGTAAAACACGAGTCTCTGCAGGGCCACAAACCACTTGGCGTAAGAAAATTTGTTTTTTATTTGACATTTTGATGAACCGGTCCCTTAATTCCATTTTCATAACCCGACCAAGAGACCAAAAACGTGTTCCTGGCAGAGTGTGACAGCCTTTGAAATTGTATTTTGACCATCAACACACACATAAGCTTTTAGAGAAACAGAGACTTACACTATATTTTGTAATCTACGTAAGAAAACCTGTTGAATCTGCATGCTCTATCTGTAAGTTTAACTACACAATAATCCTGAAACTCTCATGTCACTAAGGCTACACCACTACACTACTTAACTTCACATGAAACAGTGTACATTAAGCAGAAAGAAAAGCACAGGATAAATAAAATAAAGCAAATGGGTGACAAAGAAAAAAATGGAAATGAAAAGAGGGGAACAGAAATAAGAGAAAACTCGACCCTACCGTCCTCTGGTTCCAGTTAAACACAGACAGACGGAGCTTTGCTACATCAGCGCCGGCAGCAGCAGCAGCAGCAGCAGGAGACAGAGTGTGTGAATATGTAAACGTCAGTGAAAATCTGTATTACCTCCCCTCCTCTCTCCCTCTCTCTCTCTGTCTCTGCCCTGTGGAGCTCTCACTTCTGCTTTGCTTGTCAAATCCCCGCAGGATGCATGTGTGTGTGTGTGTGTGTGTGTGTGTCAACATAAAACCCACTTCCTGTGCTGAACAAATGAAACACAGGAAGGGGAGGAGCCACATGGGGACTTCCTTCCCTCTTGACTCACAATACAATGAACACAGTATCAAAAAATGTATGAAGTTGTGTGTGTGTGTGTGTGTGTGTGTGTCTCACCTTGTCCATCTCTGAGTCCACATCCATAGAGCGTGGTCTGAGCTTGATGGGCTGGTCTTTGAAGATGTCACCAAAGCCAAACCCTCGAATCTACGGGTGGATTAAAGAGGTGGAATGACACACAGTGAACATTGACATTTAAAGCAGTATTTAAAGGAACACTTTAGTAAAAATCTCATGGTTTCAGATTCAGAGACTGACCCCAAAAGAGGAAGCCCTGGAAGTTTGTAGCTTGCCTTGTGGGTGGCAACAGTTTCAGTGGATTTAAAAAGCAGCCAGAGTCGCTGTGTGTTTAGCCAAAGATGCTCTATTACAAAAGCACTAGAAGCTAAAGCTGTGCAAATGGTATGACATGGTACACACTTCCTGTCTCCTAAGTGGAAGCAGTTACCTCTCAAAAAGGGGGAAAAAAGTCATAGGCACACAAAACATATACATTTCTTTAAGTTTTTTATTAACACGCTTTTTCCCTTTCCTTTATTGAGTTCTATTCTATTATTGAGATCTTTATTGTGCATGTCATAAGTGTCATTTACACTGGGGACGCTGGGGACATGTCCTTTTTGAAATGACTGATTTTGTCCCCATCACTTTTTTAAAGCATAATTTGTTAAAAAATGTTCTGAAATATTGCTTGCAGTTAAATAACAAATAAAAATGCCTTTAGAAAGGTTTATTTGTACATTAAGAAAACTGAAATATAGAAGAAACAAATGTGCTTTTTCCAAAAAAAGTAACCTAAACTAAAAAAACAAGCTACTGATTAACAACTTCTTGACACAGTATCTTTTTGGGGTTTCCGTTCTCTCCCTGTGAACATGACAAAAGAAGAGGGAATACTAAATCATGCTAACATATGAGTGGCCTCAGCAGGGATATTATATGAAAAAAGTTTATCTGCAGGTGAAACTGATATGAAAGCAGCACAGAATGACTGAAATATTGTTATATTTATATACTTATACATAAATAAAAAAACATTTCCACCATAAATTGGTGCAGAAATTTTCACAGGAATGCAAGAAATTATGATCAAAATTTCCTGGAGGAGGTCCCCTCAGACTCCCAAGCCCCTATATCTCAGCATTGAGGATATCTTTGAAACACTGTTTAAGGATCTTTTCTTCTCGTCCTCGTGACCTTAATATCACGTATTGTGATTTCTCGTGATCTAAGTGTCTCTTCACAGCCCTAATCTGAGCCCCTATGTCCCCACCACTTTTCAACACAAAGTGACACCCTTGGTGCATGTAACAGGCTTGCAAAGTGAAAAAGCCCAAAGTCCAGTCCAAAGAGAGTTCTCATCTCCCACAGAAAACTCTGAACAGTCTGAAAACAGCTCGTTTGTAGTCCAGTCATTCCCTTTCATCCCTGTGACGTCACAGGGATGAAAGGGAAATGCGCCTCACATAACGCTCACCAAGTGGCTTCTCCGAGACGCCCTCAAAAACACTGGTGGAAAAACTCTCAGCTGCTGTTACAGATTAATAACTCACCACTTTGAAACTCAGTTGCCAAGCTGTTCGGCAACATGCACAGCTGAAACGAAGCCGTGTTTACCATCTTCCCACTGACCTGCCCTTCTCTGCTTCTGATTGGCTAGTAGTCCTTAACTAGGATCTGTGCATGTGCAACTTCCAAAAAAGATCATTTAGAGACAAGATGTATCACTCCATGGTTAAAACGAAGCATTCAACACACAGGGTAAAAAGAGGAGCTGCAACAATGTGCAGTATGAAAGACATATGGTGTTTTTTGAAAATTCAGCCACGTAAAGCTGTTCTGGTACATCCCCTAAATAAGATTTTGAACCTGAAAATCAGCATAATACCACCTTTTTAATGAATTACTATTAATGTAATTAATGCAGATCGTAACGTTTTCAACACATATCATAAAAGTATTGATATTTTTCTAGATAAATCATTTACTTGATCATAACAGCCTAATAATATTCTCAATTCCAAAACCGGTTAAATATTATACAAATTATATATTGCACAAAACTATATTTACTTATGTTAAGGTTGCAAATGACAAACTGCCTTCAACATAAACAGCAAAACACACACAACTTGTGTATTTTGCCATGTTTTTGCGCATAAATGTATGTATTTGGGAAAATACTGAGCACACGGTTAGTGAAGATGAGTATATTATGCCACACAGCTACAGGAGTGGGTTGAGTTTCTACGGGTGTTTCAATACTCAATATTCTAACTGCTTTGAATCCAAGATGCTGCATTACATCTGCAGTCCTCCGTTCAAGTGTCTGATTTTAATTGAAGTATTCCTTGAAAACTACTTCACTCAGCAGTAATTCTTAATAATTGTGAGGCGTGGCAACTATAGCTGTGAACATATTTTTGTGCTGGAAAAAAAGCACCAGCTTCTTGTATTGTGCCATAAAGGCTGTTTTTCCAACTAAATCTGACCCACTACAAGCAGTGCTGTACTCTGTTGCGTGTAAAAGTCCTGCATTGAAAAGGTTACTAGATCCAAAAACTTCCTGAGTAAAACTATGTAGTATAATACGGCAAGGCAAGGCAAGTTTATTTGTATAGCACATTTCAACAACAAGGTAATTCAAAGTGCTTACATAAAACATAAAAGCAACAGGGAAATATAAAAAAGGTTAAAAACAACATAGGGAAATTGAAAAAAATACACATTAAAACAGGGTAAAACAGGACAGTAAAAGTTACAGTGCAGTGTACAATCAGGGTTAAAAGAGTTAAATGGAAAATAAAAACAGGCTGAGCGGCTGAGCAAATAATTGAGTTACAGTTATTTTGACAAGAGAATAAACAGAAAAGTGCACTTAATTTACTCTCTCTAGCTAGTCTGCGGGTCCACTGAAACTCCAAAAACACTTGGACACTACAGAAAAACCAGGACATGTCTGTCCGCAGGCCACTTTGACCTAGTTATACTCTGGACCCACCTGCGTGTTTACAGGTGGACAGAGGTTCCTGCAAATCACTTAGGCGTGAGATTTAAGACCACTTCCTTCACTCTGTTCAATCTCACTCTCATTATCTTTTCATTCAATTACCTACTCATTTCTCACCGTGTGAATATTTAATTAAAAGCAATGGTAAAAAGAAAAGTCTTAAGTCTTAATTTAAAAGAACTGACAGTTTCAGCAGACCTGCAGTTATCTGGGAGTTTATTCCAGATATATGGAGCATAATAACTGAACGCTGCTTCTCCTTGTTTAGTTTTGACTCTGGGGACAGAAAGCAAACCTGCCCCAGATGACCTGAGAGGTCTGGATGGTTCGTAACGAAGCAGAAGATCAGAAATGTATTTTGGCCCTAAACCATTTAGTGCTTTTTAAACTAACAGCAGGATTTTGAAATCAATTCTTTGACATACAGGAAGCCAATGTAAAGACCTCAGAACTGGAGTGATGTGATCCAACTTTTTAGTCTTAGTGAGGACTCGAGCAGCAGCGTTCTGAATCAGCTGTCTGATGGATTTCTTAGGGAGCCCTGTAAGGACGCTGTTACAGTAGTCGAGTCAACTGAAGATAAATGCATGGATAAGTTTTTCCAGGTCTTGCTGAGACATAAGTCCTTTAATCCGTGATATATTCTTCAGGTGATAGTAGGCTGACTTTGTAATTGTCTTAATGTGGCTCCTCAAATTCAGGTCTGAGTCCATAACTACACCAAGATTTCTGGCTTGATTTGTGGTTCTTAACATTACAGATTGCTGAGCACTGAATTTCAATCGTTCTTCCTTGGCTCCAAAAACAATAACGTTTTATCTTTGTTTAATTGAAGTAAATTCTGGCACATCCAATCGTTGACCTGCTCAATACAGTTACTCAGCACCTGTATGGGATCATAGTCCCCTGGTGAAATGTTTATGTAAATCTGTGTGTCATCTGCTTAATTATGGTAACATATTTTGTTGTTTTTCATAATCTGAGCCAGTGGAAGCATGTAGATGTTAAACAAAAGAGGTCCCAGAATGGAGCCTTGGAGAACTCCACGTGTCATTTTTGTCAGCTCAGATGTGAGATTACCTATAGACACAAAGTAGTCCCTGTCCTTTAAGTAGGATTCAAACCAGTTTACTGTTAGTTTACAGTTTAGTTACTTTGCCAGAAAGTCCAACCCAGTTTTCAAGTCTGTCTAGTAATATATTGTGGTCGTCAAATGCAGCACTGAGATCCAATCAGTCAGTGTTTAAATGGATGCAGTGCTTTGGTGTGGTCGAAATCATGACTGGAAGACATCAAAACAGTTATTTAGTGCCAAGAAAGCACTAAGCTGTTGAAAAACAGCTTTTTCAATGATTTTACTTAAAAATGGGAGATTTGATATGGGACTATAATTGCTCATTAGTGACCTGTCTAGATTGCTCTTTTTTAAGAGTGGCTTAATGACTGCAGTTTTCAGGGCCTGTGGGAAAAAAACCTGAGAGGAGAGACATGTTTACAAATTGTAGTAAATCTGAGGCCATGCATTTAGAACCATTTTTGAAAAAACCTGTTGGCAGAATATCAAGGCAACATGAGGAGGATTTCAGATGTTGTATTGTGTCCTCTAGGTTTTTATGGTTAATAGAATCAAATTGTCTCATGCTATATGAAGTGAACACAGGGACAGCACATGTCCTGTTACTGACATGGAGGCACTGATTGCTTGTCTAATTGTTTGAATTTTGTCTGTGAAGAAGGAAGCAAATTCATTGCAGGCCCTGGTGGATAGAAGTTCAGAGGCTACAGACACAGGAGGGTTGGTTAGCCTGTCGACAGTAGCAAACAGGGCACGTGCATTATTAGTGTTTTTGGTGATGATGTCAAAGAAGGACCGCCTTGCATTTCTCTGTTCTAAATTATAAATGCGAAGTCTCTCTTTATAGATGTCATAATGAACCATAATGAAGATTTGTTTTCCCGCCACCTGCGTTCAGCTTTTCGACGCTCTCTTTTTTGAGTTCTAACCAGCGTGGCATTTCTCCATGGAGATCTTCTCTTACCAGAGACCACCTTCACCTTGGCTGGTGCAATGGCATCAATAACATTTGTAATTTTAGAATTGAAATGATCTACAAGCTCAGTGACTAAGACCCATGAGAGGGCAGGTGTCGGGGAGAAAGCCTCGTTCATTTTTCACTAGTATTTTCAGTGATATGCCGTTTTGTGATTACCTCTGTTTGTACATTTTTGTGCACGCACTCTCAAAGAAAACACAGGAAAGATCAGAAAGAGCTACATCAGTCACCACAACCTTGGAAATGATCAGACCATGGGAGATGACCAAGTCCAAAGTATGCCCCTTATTGTGTGTGGGCTCCATAATTATCAAGAGGAAAATGTACTTAAAGTATTACTCACTGCAGAAAAATGGTGCCTATGTCTTTTATACCGTTATATATTATCATGTCATCATCATATTACTCATTATGGATGAACCTGCTGCATATTTTCTTAATGAATCGAGGAATTATTTGGTTTGTAAAAAGTGACGATGGTCCTCGTAATAAGGTTATATCCAAGTGTAGACAGTGTAAAGAATATGTTGTTTAAACAAAATGCAGTGCGGAGGAATGTAGAGGAGGACAGTCTCATAAGTGCTACACACACTGTAGCATCAGTAAGTTAAATCTGTACTGCACATCATTGATTACCTTCTTGGGCTGGATTTCACCTGACCCCGTTTCTGACCGACTGTCCGCTCCATCACTTTCACTGCCTGGACTGTCCTTACCTACACACACACACACACACACACACACACAAACAGAATAGACAGTACACTTTACTTTGCTGCTGCTCTTCTGCAATTACTTATTTATATGAAAATGTCATGAACATTCAAACATGAAAAAGCATTAATATTGCACCCAGAGCAAGTTGCTTATGCTTTTTTTTATGTCTGGGTGCCTTCCCACCATCTGACTGGCTGAAACTCACTGGAGCGGCCGCTGCGCAGCTCCTCCTGGGAGGTGTCTAAGGAGGGCGTCTCCGACTCTGCCTGGATCTCTTTGGTGAAATTGGAGGGAAACATCCCAGTCTTCCCATTAAGAAACCCCTCCCACCAGCCCTCCTCTACCTGAACACACAACACGCAGTACCATACAGAGAAACCAGACAAAGATTTACACATACTACCACTCGCAGAAACATATCTACACACAAACATGGAGGAACTCATATGAAAATACTTGCACATACAAAAACACACTCAAACCTCAAATGTGCACCGACTCTCCAAAGGGGAGGAGCTGTGTCTATGTTCATGTTTAAGGTCAATTTTGCCAAAACGTCACATCAGAGTGGCATCTGTGCAAACCAGAAAGGCACTAGACCTTTTTTCACTGCAGATGTTTTGACTTCTCATAGCAGGAAAACTACTATTAATTATTTTATTATTTATATATTATTATAAATTTTGCTAACAATGGCAAAGTGCAAGTAAGCCATAGCCACAGTCAGCCTACATGCATAATACAAGGACGTAGCTCAACTAAATGGACTGCAGTCATTTTTAATGTTATCAATTACACCTGTGCTTTTCCAGCTGTGACATGTCAAAATGTCTGCTGTGTAAAATGGCTCTTGGACTGAATTGGAAGTCATCTGGTGACTCTATCCCTTCACAATACTACTACTGGTTTAGGGCAAAATTACATTTCTCATCTGCTGCTACATAATGAACCATCAAGACCTCTCGGGTGGTCTGTTCCCAGGCGTGTTCACTGTCCCTGTAGTCAAACCAACAAGGAGAAGCAGCATTCAGTTTCTATGCACCACACACCTGGAACAAACTCCCAGAAGACTTTAGGTCTGCCCCAATACTCAGTTCTTCTAAATCGAGCCATGAAACATCTGTGTTTGCCGCCGCCTTTTATTCATGCTCCATACTGTAGCTACACTAATCTGTTTTTTAAAATCCTGTTATCACCTTGTGTTTCTTTTATATTTCATGTACAGCACTTTGAACTGTTGACAGGTGAGCAAAACTACTTAAGATCATTTAAAGTTTTTAGACAGCCTGACTGTTTAGACTGATATTGATATTTAAGAGTTCAAAAAATCTGATAACATGTCACATAACATTAAGGATCCCTTCAGGGCTGCAACTAACAAATACTTTCACCATTGTTTATTCTTCCAATTGATTGTTTGATTAATCACATAAAGTTTTGAGAGTAAAAATATTAGAAAGTGGTGAAATAAAACGTTCTGCACAAACTTCATGCTCTAAATATTCAGTTAACTATAACAAAATCACTGGTTAACTCATGGTTTAATTTATTAATCATTTCATCTCTAGATCCTTTATTTGTTTTTTTAAAGAATTACGAGATTTTAAGTTCTCAGTGCTCTCTAGTGGACATCTATGTCATGGGAATACTTTCTAACATGTCTCCTTATAAAAACAAGCCACAAACATACTAACAATACATCTGTTTGTGTGTTTTCAGGTTGATTCCTGCCGACTTGCCTTATAGGTTTGAATTAATGAGAAGCTCCATTATGATTTCAGTAAAATGTAACCATCTTACCTCTGATATAATCTCAATGACGTCGCCTATTTTCAACTCTAGCTCATCTTCATGCTGAGGCACGTAGCTGAATGCCGCTTTACACCTCCGCTTACGGATTTGCTCTCCTGCAGTGCACACACGCACACACAGACACACACATACACACGCACACACAGAACAAGAACACAGACAAACATATTTAAGGCTTACATGTGACATAATTAGCTCACACACTTATCCATAATCCATGACTTACAGTGAGCGAGCAGGTGTTCACTGATTTATTAAAAGCCCTCATGGCTGAAGATTGACAACGCTTACCTTTGACCTCTCAATTAGAGGACAGTCTTACTATCCAGCAAAGACACCAAAAGCTTCACACTGGCCTTGCAGTTGTTTGTCTTACACTCATTAGCCTTCTCATTACTCATTTTTGACTCACTCCACACCAGCTGGGGTATTAAGAACTAACCCTGCAATTCTCCCTTTGTCCACAAGGTGTCACTCCTTATGTTAAATTTGAAGGTGTTGCATGTAAGGGTGTGTATGCATGTATATGCAGTGGTAGAAGAACTATTCAAATACTTTACTCAAGTAAAAGTATGTAAATACAATGATCAAAATGTACATATTATAGTAAAATGTATTAAAGTAACATTACTAAAAAATGTCCCTTGTTATCCTATTATATATATTACATCATTAGATTATTATTATTCGTACATCAAAGTAAAAGCAGGATTTGAACTTTTTTGCTTCACACTGCAACTAATTATTATTTTCATTATCTGCTAATTATTTTTTCCATTTATCGACTGATTGTTTGGTTTATAGAAATTCAGAAAAAATTGAGAAATGCCATCACAGTTACCGAGAGCCCGATGCGTTGTTTCGTCCAACCAACAGTCCAAACCGAAACGTTATTACCAATAAATGAAACACACACATTTGTGAAGCTGGAACCATGACATGTTTTTGTATGAGAAATGACAAACAAAATAGTTACCAATACATTTTAAGTCAAACGACTAATTGTTTCAGCTGTGCTTGTACATGTTCATATAGTTTGTGTGCACAAATCTTAATTTGTTAAGTGACTAGTAACTAAAGCTGTCATTTAATTGTATGGAAGTAAGAAGTACAATTTTTACAAGAAGTGTAAAGTGGTATGAAAAGAAAAGACTCAAGTACCTAAAATGTATACTTAAGTACTTGATTGAGTGTACTAAGTCACATTCCACCACTGTGTTTACATGTTAGAACGGGGAGGAATGCTTGACCCAAATCCTTCCTCACGCTAATAGGATCTATGTTTGAGACTGAAGACCTGCCTAACAACTACAACGTGTGAACGTATGTGACTGTGTGAGAGTCGAGTACCTTTCCTGGCCGGTCGTACGCTGGAGTCGGACACGGGGCTGGCCCTTCCATTAGAGAGGTCAGATCTGATCGTGCCTGTCTGTCCTCCATCCCTCTTTGTCTCTTTCTTTATCTCCTACGAACAGAGAGAAGAACAGGAGGCAATGAGTGGAGGAGGAAGTGTGGGTGAGGAAGGATAGTGGGAGGGATGTGGTAAAAGGAGTAGGTAGGTTCAGGTGAGAAAATGTAGGTTACAGAAACAGGACAGAAAAAGTGTTAAACATTAAAATACATCTTCCATCTAAATGCAAACTTTATTATAAAATAACATCAGAGGAGAACTTGACCCATATACTATGATAAAAACAGAAATATTTTGATAAAAAATAACAATGAATTTGTTTTAATGTTGGATCATGAACAAAAACAGAACTACATTTAACTGAAACTAATGCACAACATCATGACTAAAATCTGACTTAAATACAATAAAGCAGAGATGGGGACTCGAGTTTGAGACTCGGACTCGAGTCCGACTTAAGTTGCACACACAGTGACTTGAGACTCGACTTGAGACTCGTCCTCAAAAGACTTCAGACTCGACTCGGACTCGAGGTGCGGGATTTGTGAACAAAGTTTATTTTCAGACTCCTCTCCCTTCGTTACCTATTACCTGCCTACGGAACAGGTAGCAGCTGCACGCACGGCCACACGTACGAGAGGACAACAAACAGCGGCAGCTGCTGTGCCATTCATCATAAACGTTGGCTTTAAAAGTTCATACAACTGGAATCAAAGAAGCACTGAACGCAAAATAGCTTAGTAACCTGAGGTTAATAAACATGTTTAGCTCAGCATTGGCCATCTAACATTAGCTTGCTTCTTGCTTTAGCTACGACCTACGAGAGGTTAGGTCCGACTGTTGTTCCTTATGAAAAGAAGAATGAGCGTTTATTTACTTGCCAAACTTGCGGTGGTCGATTAATGTAATTATTTGCTCCCCGCTGGCTGCCATCATGTTAATTATTACCGTTGGCTGCAAACAGGTTACAGGTTCATTTTTAATCATGTAACGTTACAGTTTTATTTAGTTAACATTAGGCCTACACTGGTTTGAGAGTCTGGTGGTGACTTACAGTAGTTTATAAGCTGTCATTGATTGCATTGCACATCACATGGTTGTACTCTGTATGTGAAAAACAGGTTACAGTTTATCGTTGATCATGCAACGTTACAGTTTTATTTAGTTAATGTTACACTGGGTCTGAGTCTGCGGAGTGTGTTGACTTACAGTATTTAATAAGTTGTCATTAATTCTAGACGCATTGTAGCCTACATTAGGCTGATGTGGTTGTGCTCTGTAAGTGAAAAACAGGTTACAGCTTTGACCATGTAACGTTACAGTTTTATTTAGTTAACATTACACTGGGTTTAAGAGTCTGGGACTTGGGACTTGACTTGGACTCTAGCTCAGAGACTTAATCTTGACTTGGACTCTTGCTCAGAGACTTGAGACTTGACTTGGACTCTAGCTCAAAGACTTAATCTTGACTTGGACTCTAGCTCAGAGACTTAATCTTGATTTGGACTCTAGCTCAGAGACTTAATCTTGACTTGGACTCTAGCTCAAAGACTTAATCTTGACTTGGACTCTTGCTCAGAGACTTGAGACTTGACTTGGACTCTAGCTCAAAGACTTAATCTTGACTTGGACTCTAGCTCAGAGACTTAATCTTGACTTGGACTCTATCTTAGACTTAATCTTGATTTGGACTCTAGCTCAGAGACTTATCTTGACTTGGACTCTAGCTCAGAGAATTAATCTTGACTTGGACTCTAGCTCAAAGACTTAATCTTGACTTGGACTCTAGCTCAGAGACTTAATCTTGACTTGGTCTCTGCTCAGAGACTTGAGACTTGACTTGGACTCTAGCTCAGAGAATTAATCTTGACTTGGACTCTAGCTCAAAGACTTAATCTTGACTTGGACTCTAGCTCAGAGACTTAATCTTGACTTGGTCTCTATCTTAGAGACTTAATCTTGACTTGGACTCTAGCTCAGAGACTTAATCTTGACTTGGTCTCTATCTTAGAGACTTAATCTTGACTTGGACTCTAGCTCAGAGACTTACTCTTGACTTGGACTTTTGCTCAGAGACTTAATCTTGACTTGGACTCTTGCTCAGAGACATGAGACTTGACTTGGACTCTAACTCAAAGACTTGTGACCATCTCTGCAAAAAAGTCTGTGAATTAGTCTATATGACAGCTTTATTATAGAATACGATGTGTTTCAAAGACATACAAAATGATAAATATCATAAAACAAAAATATGCTGTGATATTTACAATGTAATTTGCACCTTTAGGCCCTTAAATGACATGAAAGGTGTCAATTCTGTTACTGTAAATCATGACAAAACCTTTTGGTGTGTCACTTTACCATGAGAATGATTTGTAATTAATGTTGTGAACATCAGGAAATTCACAAACATGACAAACGCTAGGGTTTTTTGGATACATTTGACAAAATTCTGAATGAAAGTGTTAAATATACTAACTGAACTGCAATCTAATCAAAGTACCATGGCCTGGCTCTTGTTGTCAAAGAAACGGGAAATGTTTACCTGTAAAAGCACTACTATTGGATTAGGTTTAATATTGGGTACTGATATAATGTAAAAACAAAAGATAATCTCAGATCAAACTAAAATGTACTTAAACACATGAAGGTCCCTGGATATAAAAGCACGACTGCATACAAACCTGAAGGTTATGAGGTTATTTGTTATGCAATAAACTTACTTATGTATTCAATAAATGCAAATAAGGTTTGTCATACTGTCTCTCCGTTTGAGTCCAGCACTGTGCTGCAGATGCTGCAGAGGAGCAGCAGTATTAGATGACAGTAACCCAGGTGACCCTCACTGTTTACCTGCAGACGACCAGCCAGATCTTGCAAAGCCTGGACAAACACACAAACATGAGACCGGCCCCCGACCCCCCATCACTGCTGCAATCTTTCCCTCTGTCCGCATGACTTTCACTTGCATAAAGAATCACAAGACGCCATGCGAGACTGATCAAGAAAACCGGAGCGAGGCGAGGCAGACAGAAGAACCAACAAGCCGGCAGATGGAGGGACAACAAACAGGGAGACGTTCACATTCAAACACACAGGCCCAGGAAAAACTACACATGACGGTTCACATCTCTCCGCCACATTCATCATGACACTGTTTCATAAGCTCTGGCCTTTGGCGAACGCAGCTCAGTGAAGCATACAGGCCCCGGCGTACTGACTCACAGAATCTAACCCCTCACACGCACTCTGGTTATGTTTGGCCTGGTGTGGCGTGAAAGCCTTAATGAGCCTCTGAGATCCAAAAATATCAACAAGAGAAGTGAAGAACTGCTAAAACTCATCTTAGGCTAAGAGCCATTTTAGGAGCTTCCACAGCTGGGGAGTGGACGTAACACTGGAGCATGTGTGAAAATAAGTGTGAAAGCAACGGAAAAAACAGCTACTCAGCAGAGAGAGAATGACTAATTATCATAAGGTTTCTTGTCTTTCTCCTCTCTATAAATACTTACTACTACTTCAAAATACTAGAGACAGAGTCAGGCTAGCTGTTTCCCCATGCTTCCAGTCTTTACGCTAAGCTATGCTATGCTATGCTAAACGTCTGCCAGCTGTAGCATCATATTTAGCGTACAGACTCTCACACTCTTGGCAAGAAAAACTTTATTTACCAAAACTATATCTTTAACCTGCATTACTTGATGTTTTGGCTACTTTGGGCCAGAATTTTCTTCAATTAAACAAAGATAAAACTGAAGTTATTATTTTTGGAGCCAGGGAGGAACGATTGGAAGTCAGTGATCAGCTTCAGTCGGTAATGATTGGAACCACAAATCAAGCCAGAAATCTTGGCATAGTCATGGACTCAGGAGCTGAATTTGAGGAGCCATATTAAGTAAATTACAAAGTCAGCCTACTATCACCTGAAGAATATATCACGGATTAAAGGACTTATGTCTCAGCAAGACCTTATCCAAACTTATCCATGCATTTATCTTCAGTCGACTCGACTACTGTAACAGTGTCCTTACAGGGCTCCCTAAGAAATCCATCAGACAGCTGCAGCTGATTAAGAACGCTGCTGCTTCTCAAGTCCTCACTAAGAAGTCTGCTGAAACTGTCATTTCCCTGTTGCTTTTATGTTTTATTTAAAGCACTTCAAATTACCTTGTTGAAATGTGCTATACAAATAAACTTGCCTTGCCTTGCCTATAAATACAACAGTTCCCCATTTTCACACTCTGCAAACACAGAGCTACGTCAGCATTAAGTTGGAGCCTTGTTTCTGGCCTCCTGAAAAATATAAATGTTTCTTTTAGCTCTAATTTGCTCTCCACCACCTCCTGAAATATAGCTCTTTACCCGCTAAATGCTCCACTATTCACCAGCTCCGTCGCAAACTTTGTTTGTCTGCCATTAGCGGTGTGACGGTTGAACAAGTCCAAAGCCTCCACACCCACACAGCCTCTGTATTTAAAGCACCCATAAGGAGTCTCACTGTAACACTGATGCCTCTATATAATATGCATATGAGACCTTCAGCAAGAAGATTTCTATGTAGTTTTTATTAATCCCTGTTACTGCGTCAGATTCCCTGCAAAATCAGATGAAACGATTTAAGACACGCAGACCAGAAAGCCTATGTTTACATTTTCCCTGGTAGAGAGAATTTTATTTTTTGCATTATATTTTGTGGATATGTATGACCGCGGGGCAGGATCAGCAAAGAGAAAAAGGGACAGATAGAGCATGGGCGAAAACACGAGTTAACTTTGGAGAGAGTTGCTTAATTTGAAAAGATTCAAAGTAATCAGTAATTCATTTAATAATCTATTAATGTTTAGATCATTTTACATGCAAAAGTGTCAAAAACTTCACATGTTCCAACTGCTCAAATGAGAATATGTACCGGTTTTGTTATGATTGGGTTTCGGACTGTTGGTTGGACAAAGCAATTTAAAGATGTCACTTCTTGGGAAATTGTGAGGTGGATTTTTCCCATACACACACACACACACACACACACACACATACAGACATATACATACATACAG